GGCAGTCCCGGCGGCCGTGGGCGCTGTGGCGGCGGTGCCCCTGCCCGCCCTGCCGCGTCCCGGTGCGAGCGGGGCTGGAGGCGGCAGATCGCGGGGCTCCTGTCCTCCAACAAAAGCTCGCCCGCAGGTAGCACTGGTGCGTGCTTCTCTTGGGTGTTTCTTTCTTTAAAATAAAGCCGACAGAGCATMTGCACACGCGAGGCATTTGCGCTTGGACCTTACGTGTCTTGTTTTCACATTTTCCCCCGCAAAACTGCGTAGGGCAAGTGCCCCAGCTCCCCTTACTGCGCTCCAGGCAGCACGGAGCAGGCTCCCGGCGTGTGCCGACAGTACGGTGGGCTCTTCAGAGCTCTTTCGTGCTGCAAAGCGCCCTGCTCTCCCGGGATCCTCAGGCTGCCACGAGCACTCACTCCTACAGACTGCTGCTGCGAACTTCTGTGCGCTGGGACCTTTGGTATTTCATCACGGTAGCTCCGAGCCATCCTATTTGCAAGTAGCTTGCAAATAACTCGGACTGTGGAAAAGCGCTTTTAAGGGAAGCGAAGCTGCACGCTTCCCTAAGAGCTACTGTTTTAAAGCGTATAGACTTTCAACAAGAGCCGTCGCACTCCGTGTTGAGAGGAATATTCACTTCACTAGACTCAAAAACACCTCTAGTAAGAAAGTGGCCAGTCCTATAAAAGGAATTGAGCCCAAGAAGAAGTGGGAGAAATCTCTGGGCTTTTCCTCCTAAGACAGATGCGTGTACACTAATGGGAGTATTTGTGGCTGAGCGCCCGAGCTGAATATATTTTGAAATGTAACATAATACCTTCTTTGCTCTTGTTGTTTCTTCCTCCGTGGCTCTTCTTTAGTGTACTTAAAGGAATGTTTTTCTTATCAGCCTGCCCCTCCGGTCCCCGTGTTTCCAGCCCTGCTCTGTCTCGCTCTGTCCTCACCACTCGCTCTCCCTGTTCAAGTCCTCAAATAATCTCTCCAGCTTCCTTGTGTGTGTCACCTCAGCCTCTTGGACACACGTGCCACTCCTCATGCCACCAGCCCCCCGGCCTCTCCTCGGCACCGCTCTTCCCTCTGCCATCTCCACTCGATGCAGTGCTGAGCGTTTCTCTTCAGTCTGTCAGCGCCACTGCTGCCCGTCCTATCCTGTCCTGCCCTGTCCTGTCCTGTCCTGTCCTGTCCTGTCCTGTCCTGTCCTGTCCTGTCCTGTCCTGTCCTGTCTTGTCCTTCCCTGTCCTGACCCAGTCCATTGGGAGCTTGCTTGCCGTCACATCTCAACCCCCATTTAGCCCTCTCTTGCCACTGCTGGGCTGGCTGTCCTGACTTCCTGTGAGCCACCATTCACCCTGATGTCTTGCATTTTGTGGGTCCAGCCTCAGGGTGCTGGTGCCTGACCAAAGGAGAAGCTGTCTCCTGCCCAGGTTGCTATTTAGTGAAGAGGTAAATGCAGGTGGTACCCACTCCCTGCCAGATCCCAAATGGCAGGACTAGCATGGCTGGCATCACCACATGCTTCTGTAAAAAACTTTCTGCACATGTAGATCTGGCCCAAAGTTGAAGGAAACTCGAAAGATCATGTGGTCCAATTTTTCCTGGGAAAGGGATGGGATTATCAACCTGTCCAATCCCATTTTGAAAGCATCTAGTTTGGAGACTCCACCCCATCCATGGGGATGATTTTTCAGGGGGTGATTGTTCTAACTGTAAAAAATTCCTTTTTTTGCAGTGAATAAAAATCAAGATGAAGCCTCTCCTCGTGCAACTTGTACCTGTTGCCACTTGCCTGCTCCCTGTGTCTCCCTGTCGAGAGAGAATCTCCATCTTTCTTGCAGCTGTGTGTGTACCTGTGGTTTGTGCAATAGGTGTCCAGTTCTCGCTGCTTTCGCAGAACCCGCTGCCTCGGGCACAGCCAAGGACTTCAACACATGCCTCTTCCACACACTGTTTAATGCTATTTGCCCCCGGCACATTCCTTAGCTGCGCAATGCAACAGTTATACTTTGTCATCTGTAGTATTTCCACCCCAGAATATCAATTTACAGCCCTGCGTTACAGCGTGTCCTCAAAAAGCGAGAAGTGAAAGGAGAGAAGTTATATAACTGGTCTGGTGCTGCAGAGCCAGCCAGCCACCAGCAGGATTGCATTGCAGGGATTCCCACCTTCCAAAACATCCCCTTCTTCCCCAAAAGCCCTGCTGCCTCAATCTCTGAGGCACTTTGCACACTTCATCTCAAAACTGGAGACCACCTTTATGACCGTGATGCTCTGCATCCAACACTGAAGGGAAACTGGAGGTATAAAGCCCAGGTATTTTTGAAGCATCACACAGGCAGCCACCTGGCTGCCTTCCAGTATGCTCTTCCTTTGAGTGTGCTCGCTGTTTCTCATATATAAGACTGCTGATCCATCACTTAATCATATTGAGTAAGTACCTAAAATTAACTTTTAAATTATTAATGCATGAGAACATATCCGTTTGCCATGTACATTATTTTAAAGGATTACAGTGTGTACACTGAGTGCCATTAACATTACATTTTGAAGACAGTAAATTGACTTGTATGGAAATCAGAAGAGTTGATGGATTCCTCTAAAGATGCCTTTGACAATGATAAAATGTTAAATTGAATTATTATTAAGCACGTGTCCATACTTAAATTTCTTTCCAAAACATACAAAAATAAGCGACTGCTCAAGTCTCATTAATATAATATTTTTCATTTTGTAGTGGGTTAGAAAAATAGATACGCATGAGTATTGAGAATATTCATCTGACAAAAACACTAGGAAAGATATGTTTAGTTTCCTAGACTACAGCTGTAGTGTTTCAAGACAAAACTGTAGTGTCATAAGATTATTTATCCAAAATAGCACCACTAAAATGGTTAAGTGGAGAAGCAGCAATGCATCTTTTCAATGGCAATGAAGGACATGCTTATCTTTTCTCTTAACTAACAAATCTCAGACAACACCCTACATGCTGTATCATGAAAATAGCAGCATAAAATGCTGATATTTTCTCTAAGAAAGAAGATTGTCATTTTCTGCAAAACGAAGCACACAAGAAATAATGTTGGCAATAATGTACTCTGACTATGTAAATGTTATTCCTGCTCACGGTCTAAACAATAAAGGCAAATAATGGTGCAAAACCCTTGATGCCTTCAGGACTTTGTGCCCAGGAGAAGTTTGTCTAGCTCCCTGTTTTCTTCTTCTTTGCAGTGGTTAAGGTTTGGGTTAGAGAAGACAAATTCCTCTGACCCCTGATGGAAGAAGAAGATGGAAGAACTAATGAGACTCCCTGTCTGTGCTCGAGGGAATCCAGGCTGCTGTGGGAGAAGAGGACAGGGTGCACAGTCCCCTCCTAGCTGGAGAGGGTCTTGCTGCCCTGCACCTTCCAAGCTCTGAGCCTGTGGTACCACTGGGTTTAGGATATCATTCTATTTTCCCATGTGCTTCCTCAAGAAGCCAGAAAGCCCAGAAAATACTCATTTTGCCATTTGTACTCCTTAGGAAACTTGCATTAATGTAAGTTTCCCATGTGTTAAGGGTTGAAAAACAGCTCCAAAATATAAGCAGAATATAGGCAATCTCTGTCTATTTCACACTACATTTAAGACTCAATACCTAATAATAAATGGCTGTTGGAGTTCGAGTACTGTGGACTTGGTTTGCTTTCCACAAAGACTTGAACTCTGCAGGGTGACTTTTCATTTTGGAACTTAGCCAAAGGATACTAAGCTGTACAATTCAGTTAGTTCCAAGAGAGAAAAAGGTCATTTTAAAGTTTTATTAAAAAGACTAATGAAAACTGTCTAGTAGATATGAAGTTTTCTTTAGAAACATTATTATATTTCATATATATACTGAGAACAGGCATAATTTTCTTTTCTATTACGTTGATTTAGGAAATGAAAATCCAATAGCAGAAGATCTGAAGAGGAGAGATCAGAATCTGGCCACTGCTTTCACTCTCAAAGGAACTTTCATGAAAGCATTATATGAAAGTCGGCATTAAGCATGATCTTTAACTAGTAGAATGCACTGATAAAAGAATTCAGCAATCAAAAAAGGGTCAACATGGTCATCATTGCCTAGTAGGTATATGGGCAAAAGTGCTGACCAACCTTTGAAATGATAATAAGTTTCTTTTGTCATGGACAAATCTTTTCACCTTAAATAGACAGGAAGCCTTCTACCACAGCAGAATTTTAATAAAGCTTAATCTGGAACAAAACCAACTTAAAATTATGTCTGTTGCTTTTATAATAAATGAAGCAAATGCTCGAAAACTTTTTAAAAGCTATCCAGAAAAAAAAAATAAGTCTTTTTAACATCAAGATGGAAGAGGGGGAAACATTCTCCTTCATTTCTGTCTACATCCTTCTTTTCCATTGTATTTATTTAATCACTCAGTGTATTTGTAAGTGAAGATTGTAAACTGAAAGGGGAAATTAAAGCGCTAAAGAAAAAAAACTAAAGA